CACCGCCGCTGCCGCCGACTCATGCGCTGCTGCAGCGACAGCAGCAGACGCAAAGGTACCGGCTGCCGTTAGGATGGCAGCAACTACAGCAAGAAGAAGAAAAACAACAACAACAACACGATCTTGACAACCCGGAGATGTGTATTAACGCTGCTGCTGATGATGATAATGATCATGATGATGGTGGTGATGATGATGGCGGCGGCGGCGATGGCAGCGGTGGTCGCGGCAAGGGTGATGGCGGGCTGCCGCCACTCGCACCGGATCTGGGCGAACAGCGGCAGGGGCCCCGGCAGCTGGGCACACGGGGAGGGCAGCTCGCGGCGGAGGGTGTTGGCCGTGGCGGCGACATCGGCGGTGGGGTTACTGGTCACATTGCCGTACTCGCCGTGGACGAATGCGCGGGTAGGGGGGTCAGCTCCACGGCGGCCCGATGGGCGGCAGCTGGTGCTGCTTGCGCCGGCCGACCCGCGGGTCGCATGGCGGACGCCGCGGCTGGTGGCGGTAGTGGTGGTGGTGGAGGGTGGCTGAACAAGCGGCGTAGCCGGTCTTGGGACGCGCTAGAAGCTCATGGAGTCGCGGGTCTGTTTGGTGGTGATGGTGTTGGTAATGGTGGAGGTGGGGGTGGGGGTGGAGGTGGTACGGGAGGGCCGGGGGGTGAAGCAGGGGCGCCTCATGGGGGTGAGAAGCGGCTGCTCGGCCGCCGTTATGTGCAGCAGCAGCTGCCCTTCACCATGCAGAAGCCGAAACCCGATTCAGGATCAGCGGCGGCGGCGGCGAAATCGCAGCAGCTGCAGCAGCCTGTACGGCGTCCTCGTCTTCAGCCCAGCCAACCATGGCATCAGGTTTGTTGTTGTCGGGTTACAGGGCGGAAAACGTTAGGAGGGCGAAGGGGTTGATTGCAATAGCATGCACGTGCCTTGTCTTGTTTGTTCTCCCCTGGGTGCTGTCCCCTCGTCTGCATTTGCTTTCTACTACACTTCGGTCGGCCTTGGGGCCTTGCATTTCGACCCCGCTGCCACCACCCGCTCCCACCCGCCGCCGCCGCCTCCCGCTCCGCCGCAGGCCGCTGACGGCGCCGCCCATCACGACCCAAGCGGCTTTGTTGATCTATCGGCGGCCGCACCAGCGCCGTACGACAATGATGGCGGTGAGGGCAGCGGCGGCGGCGGCGGCAGGGCTGCCTGTATGAACCTCAGTCCGGGGGCCCCCAGCAGCACCGGGGGGTATACGCCAGGGCCGCCGCCGCTGAAGCGCAGGACAAAGCCAGAAGGACCGTCGTCCACGGGGCCTGGCGCCGCCGCCGCCGCCGCCGCGGTGATCCCAATCGCTCGCGGCGGCGACATGACTGGAGGCACCATCGCGCCGCCGCCGCCGCAGCCGCCGCTGCAGCCGCAGCGCCTGGCGGCTAGGACAAGTGACGCGGATAAGCGGCCGCCTAAGGCGCTGCCGCCACCACCGCCGCCACCGCGGCCGCTGCCTAACCCCCCTGGAGTGGTGGGTGTGGTCCCAGCACTTCCCCTGGATGCAGCCGCCGCCAAGGCCGCCTGCCGGCCAGCCGCCGCCGCGGCGGCGGCTGGGGCCGCTGCTCCTGCTCCTGTCGCAGCCAACAATGCCGTCGCCAGTGCCGTAGCTGGTGGCAAGGGCGGTAACAACGGCGTTGACGGCGGTAGCGGTGGTGGTGTAGGTGGTGGTGGTGGTGGGAGGGAGGGTCCAGCTGGCTACAAGTACAGCGCAGTGGTTCGCGGGCGAGCGGAGCGGGACGCTCTGCAGGCTGTGGAGTGTGCGGGGTGCAGGTGAGGGGGGGGGACTAAAGGTTTACCGGCCTCCGAAAAAGTGGTGGTGGTGATGGTGATGGTGATGGTGATGGTGATGGTGATGGGAGGTTAGGGAAGGAAGAAACGGCGGGGGAGAGGGTTTGGACGGTTGAAAGAAGAAGGGCGTACGATGAAGCACAGGCAGGCGATTGAGGACGAGAAGGACAAAACGCAGAGGGATACCGTAGACCGGAGGAAAGGGTTTAACTTGGGGTTGTCAGGTACGGGTACGGTGGAGGCCGCGTGGCCGTATTGATGATCAATAATGACTGTCAGCAGGTCTTTAAGAGTCGTTTTTTTGGTGGGAAGGGGGAAGGGGGAAGGGGGAAGTCTTAAGAAGGAAAGGGAGGAGGACGCAGCCAACTTGGACACGCGACCCGAAAGAAACACCCTCTCTCCGAGCGGAGTATCCGTTTATTTGTCTGTCTGTCTCTGTTATCAGCATCATCACTCGTCTGTGGTTCGTCCTATCCCCCAGAAGGGGGAAAGGAAGTGGCGAATGGGGTGGCTTAGGTGTTGGATATGAGAATGACCAACATTCGTATACACACATTCGGAGTGTGAGAAGCAGACTGCACCTAGGTAATAGGTGGGACCCGCAATAGGAGCCTTACCGGCGCTTTGATAATGTTTCACTAACACGAAGTGGAGAATGAAGTGGCAGCCCCGGAAAGAGATGGCGAGGGCGGTGGGGGGCATAATTTTATCATCATCCCGCAGTCAGTCAAAGAGCAATTCCGGTGTTTACCGCGCCCGAAGGCGGCTCTGCTGGTGCCCCCCCCCCACGTGCGTCGTTGCTGCGTTCGCTTTAGCGCTTTGGCCGTCCCTTACCGGGTGGTACCATCCTTCCTCCCCCACACACATATATATCGATGTTTTCATTGGCCAGTAAAATATAGTCCTGATGCAGCTGTATCTTTTATCTTGTCCTGAACTACCACCCGTCTGTCTTTGGTATGTGCTCCATTCCTGAAGGAGCTGGCCGCCGCTGAAAATGATTTTCTCGCTGAAAATGCTGCCACTGGTGGAGCGCTTAGCGCGTATGTGTAGACGTGATATGTGTGCTGCATTGTGTACAACAGCTACTACAATGCGCCAGTGGTTCGGGTTCGTCTTACCCGCCCTCGTTTCCGCTCCCTGCTACCTTGCAGGGCCTTTTACGAGGCGGTGGCGACGTGGGGGGGCTCGGTGGAGCCGTGCTGCTGTACACATGCGCGGGGGGGGCGGACGGCGGCCGCCCCGGACGGGGCCCCGCGGGCCCAGGCGGCAGCGGCGGCGGCGGCGGCGGCGGCCATGCAAACCGCGGCCCAGCCGCAGCAGCCGGCGGCCGCCGCCGGGGCTCCTCGGGCCCTAGCCGCGGCGTTACGTCAGGCGGGAGGACGTCATCGGTTCAAGTTCGCACCCCCTGCTACCCCCGATGTGAGGGAGGGAGAGTCGGGGGCGTGCCGGTGTGCGCCGTGTTTTTGTGTGTCGCGACGGTATGTGTGTCTCTGTTATATATTGATCGATCCACAAACATACATACACACACAGCGTGTTTGTGTGCCGATGTGTGTGTTAGAGTGCGCATATGTGTGTGCGCGCGTATTTGTGTTTGTGTCTGTGTCTGTGTGCGAAGGGCATTGGGAGGGGTAGACATATAACACTCACACACCCTATGTATATGTGTCTACCTCTATGTGTGCGTGTGTGTGTGGTGTGGGGGGGGGAGGGGGAAGTAAGGGACCTCTGTAAAGGAGGTGCCCTTCCCCCCCCTAACAAGAGCTAACGACATCGTGCTGTGCCTTGCGCCCCCAGGGCTTCTGGGACATCGGCTTCGGCGACACCCAAGACTGATAGAGGACAGGGCAGACAGACACACATACAAACGCACGAACACAAATACACACACGGGCTGCAATGAAGAACCCTAACATTTCCACAGTCCGCAGAATGGCAACCGCGGCCCGCCGGATCCCATTATGTAGTAGTCGGACCTACCTTGTAATGACAACCAAGGTGTTGTGTGTGGTGGAGGCAGGCAGGCTGGCGGCTGGGTGAACGGGCGGGCAGGGTGTGGTGTGTGTGTGTGTGTGTTTGTGGTGGTGGGGGGCCCCCCCGCCGCGAGAGGAGTAGGGGGTGTGGCGGGGTAAAAAAAAGCGATCGCGGGGTAAGTGAGGTGAGGAGCGATTGATTGAAGCGGGTTGATTGCAGGGGTTTGTGGGTGACGCGCCGCCACACGACGTCGTGCAGGGGCAGCAAGTTTCATTGGGTTGGGGCCGACGACATGTTCTGGGTGAGACTCGGCGGTTGGCGGTTGGCGGTTAGGGTGGACTGAGGGTCCGTCCGAAGGCGGGGGGTTAAGCCTGGGCAGGAGAATGGATCTAGTCAGCTAGATGGATTCTAGCATTCTGGGCTGTGATGATGGCAACTGCCGACATCATCATCGCCGTACAGAGCGCCAAAGAATAAAGCCCGGGGGCTGTACGCTGGTATGTATGTATGTGGGGTGGTGGTGGGGGTTTAAGGGTTCGCCAGCATCCCGTACATAAGCGTGGGGGCGCGCTCGGCATGCAGTGTGCGACGGTAGGGGGTGCAGGCGGGAGTGAGTCGTGTGTGTAAGACAGCATACGCATACATGTGTGTTTCGGACTGGACTGGACTGGACTGGACTGGGCTACAGTACAGTTCTATGTGACACGGCATGTGGATGTGGAGTGCATGGATGAGCCCCCCCTGAAGGGGAAGAGACTTCTTCTTCCTCTCCTAAAGGGGAACGAGAGCCGGTGGAGCTCAGGCCGCAGATGTAGATTGGCTACATGGAGGTTTCCGGGCTAATAATTGCTGCTGCACGAAGGTCACGTGAATAGATGAGCAGTAATTGTATAAATGTATGAATGCATATTTCTTTGTATGTATGTATGTATGTATGTATGTATGTATGTATGTATGTATGTATGTATGTATGTATGTATGTATGTATGTATGTATGTATGTATGTATGTATGTATGTATGTCTCTACAGGGGTCGTGACTCATTCAGAATGGTCCTGAAAGGGTGGGCTGCAAGGCATCCTATCTGGAGTCGCCTTCCGTTTCGCTGGCTGCTGCTGCTGCTACTGCTGCTGCTGCTGCTGCTGCTGCTGCTACTGCTGCTGCTGCTACTGCTGCTGCTGCTACTGCTGATGCTGCGAAAAGAGCACAGAGAAGCGAAAAAAAGGGGATTTTATCATATGGCTGGATTACCGTTGTTTGAGTATATATGTCTGTCGCGCGGGTGCCACCAGAGGGCTGCCAGGCCACGTCGCTTTCAAAGTGCACGGTCTGTTGGTGCCGCGATCCCCCACTGTAACACCCCGCTGTGGCAGCCGCGACTAGTGCGACCTTGCAGCGTGAGAGTGTGTTCCGATACGCGTGCTTTTGTTTCAAAGCGGGCTCTGGTTTGTTTAATTTTGGCCTTGGCCACGATGAGAGATAGCAGCGGCGTCTTCCGGGGAAGCGAACCGCCAGCCGCTGCCTTTTTCGATGCAAATAAGGCAGGCAGGCAGTGTCGCAGGCGGTGGTGCGCGTGGGCGTGCAGACCCCCCTTGGGTGTGTGCTTCTCGCGGCCAGCCGGAGTTCAGTGATGATCAGGAGGACCTAGATGCTCTAGGGCTGCAGCAGCAGCAGCAGCAATGGTGGTACGTTGCTTGCTGGTGGAGAGTGTCTTGGGGCAGAAATCTAGACTCCTGGGGTTGAGCTTCGAAAGCCACAAAACGACTTTTTGTTACCGAGGAGAGAACTTGGCGGTTAATTGTATTGCGAGTAAGGCCTATTTATGTAGTTTGGGGCGTGGGAAAGAATGTGAGGGAGGGGGTCTAAGTTTTTTGTGCGCAGGTTTTGCGCCGGTTGATGCAATTTTACGCGTTCTTTTGTTTCTATATTAGAAAGGCGTTTTATATATAGTATTGCAAGGTTTTCTTTCACACACAAGGAAAGAGAAATGAAAATGGTGGCGGGCGCTCCAGCTACAAGGCGTGACTGGCGACATCAAGCAGAGAGGTCCATTTAGACAGTCGTCTGTCACACACCACCAGTCAAAACCCAACTAATTAAACCACCAACGCCGTCATATCGGCTCTGCAGGTCTCGACAGGCGATGTACAGCGCTCTGGTATCCTCAACCTTCCCTGCTCAGCTCCCCTTCAGTACTTTGAATCTCCATAAACGACTTTATTTATTTTTAGAAGCCGGAGGCCCAGAGACCATATTGCCTTATTAGGCTGACTGAACCGGGCCGTCATCCTACCTATAGGGTATTTTACCCCTCCATTAGGACCAAGGTTTTTGTTGGTAAGAACCACTACACGAGCAATCGCCAAGAAACTGGAGCGCGCCCTAAAGAGAGCAAAACGAATCACATAGCAGGTTGCACTCGGGCACTGCACGTTGCCAAAACAGGAAGCAGCAGCGGTAGCAGCCACAGCAGTAGCAGCCCAGGGCTAGCCTACTACCCGACACACTACTCCAACGGTCAGCTCACCTGGCAAGCGTCTTGTCTCCTGCGCACATTTCAGTCGTACAGTTGTCGTACAGGAGCAAAGGAAGATACGGCATGGCTGCTTCAAGCAAGCCCTCCATGGCGTCGACGCTGCTGCAGGTCGCGTCTTCAGCGATGCCCAATCTCTTGGTGAGTGAAACATTGAAAAGCCAACTTCCATATAAAGATCTCGACTTAAAAAATAAAGTATTTTCCCGTATTTACGTTCAAATACGAGTCAGTCAATAAACGCCATGTTGCATTGCCATGTGCCGGAAGGACAGCACATGGTGCAAGGCGCATTGTGTCGTACCAATCCATCACAACTTTCAATAAAACCGGATTGGAGAAGCGGATGGAGCTCTAGGAGCGCCCCCGGTGGACATGAGCTCTTAGACGCAGCTGATATACCTGGGGGTTGATGCGGGTTTAAATTGATTCGGGGTTTGACAGGGGTTGGGTGATCGAGGAACAATCCTCATTGTTACATACATGACTTCATCAGTAGATAACTAGTTAAAATAAAACTCCTCCTATCAACCTAATCCCCCAAAGTCTGGCCCACCTAGCTCAGCGCCACAAAAACCCAGCCGGGGGCCCCCCCAGGTAAAACATCAGCCCCCCTCCACATTCGTCCCCCTTCCCCTTCCCCTCCACACCTACCTACCTACCTACATAAATACATACATACTGCTACATCGGACTACAGGGCGCCTTTCAATGCCAGCCCGTGTACCTGGTCGACTTTGCCTGCTACAAGCCACCTAACGAGTTCAAGGTGGTGGCAGCCGAAGTGGAGAACGCCGGCAGGGATTGGTAGGCGGAGGAAGGGAGTGCGTATAAGGGTGCTTTGGAGACACTGTAGTCTTTGTGGTCTTTGAACACAGGGTGAATTGAACACAGGGTGAAATGAACACAGGGTCATTAAAGGAAATAATGGACGAGCTCTGTGTGCGCATGTATGTATGTATGTACGTATACACGTATATATGTGTACGTATGTGTGTATGTGTGTATGTGTGTATGATGATTTTTGGATCCGTGATGAGGGAAATGCTGACAGTGGTATCCTGGAGAATAGCTTCAGCAAAGTGAGCTCTTCGCGTAATCACCAGCGATGTGGCGTTAGTATTTTCCAATGAAATTGTAGCTGGACGTAGCTGCTTGGACTTTCAAGTAGATGCGTGGATATTAAAAGAGTGAGCGATGTCCCAGGGCGTTTCGCGTTGCGGTGGCGAAGGGTGACTAGGTGGTGGGGGGACCTGATAACGAACATCGAGGGCATCGAAAGTATGTGTGTGTATGTATGTAATTATGTATGTGCGTGTTTCGGGTTCATAATAATAATGCTTTCGTGTCTGATACGACTCCATTCGCCCCTTTTTTCCCTTGCATTCACCCCATCATTCACGCCCGTCTGCCCAACCCACTCCCACACGCATTCCATCAACCACGCGCAGGTCCTTCGTCACTCACCGCCTTGCCTGCCTCACCTGCCAGGCGTTCTACCCACCTCCTCTCCTTCCCTCCCTTCTTGCCTTCCTCCTCCTCCTCGTCCTCGATTTGCCGTACAAGGAACATGTATTCGGACGAGGTGAAGGAGTTCCTGTGGAAGGTCCTGCTTAAAAGCGGCCTCAGCGCCGAGACCACGTATCTGCCGCCTGCAGTGCACCCCTGCCATGTACAGCAGCCAAAAATGGACATTAATGCGGCGTTGGATGAGGCACGGCAAGTGATGTACGGCGCCGCCGACGAGCTGTTCGGGCGCACCGGAGCACAGCCCCAGGACATTGACATCCTCATCACCACAAACTCCATCTTCTGCCCCACGCCGAGGTACGGCGTACATGTACGACATGTACGACAACGCAAAAACCTTGCCAGGACCTCCCCGGCATCATCTCACGGCCAAAGATGGTCACAAGTTCTCTTAGTTCTCGCCAGCCAGCATGCCTGTCCGTTGGCATGCTTTTTCTGTTATGTAGAACAGTTTTTGAGCATTTAAACACAGCGGCGCTTCCGTTGAAAGGGAAATCCCCCCAATCCCCACCTAGGGATCGGAATCCTAAGTCCGATGTACCTGTACAGCAAGTGCACCGAGTCGGTTGCTGGTTGTTGGTTGCGGATTCCCCACATCACCGTTACATCGGATTACGGCACTACCTGCTAAGCTCCACCTCGGCAGCCACCCCACTCATTTCCATTCCTGTCCGCCCGTACACTCCACTTACACTCACCGGCCCAGATTTTGACCGTCCTATCATAGTGTAGCTTTTGCCCCGGGTGCCACGAATCGCCAACACCGCCACGACATTTCAAAACCTTGACGTCTTCCCCTTCGGTTCACCCCCTTTAGTTCCCCTAAACTAACTAAAGTTCCCCTTTAGGGGAAGAAGAAGAACAAAGTAGTCAACCCGACCCGCTCATCACCTCACATGCCACCTCACACACCGCTGCAGCATGGCGTCTATGGTGGTCAACCATTACAAGATGCGTTCAGACGTACAGTCGTACCACCTGGGCGGTATGGGCTGCGCCAATGGCACCATCGCAATCAATCTCGTGCGGGACATGTTGCAGGTGTGTATGTCTGCATGTATGTATGTGTATTGTGTTGCCCATTTATGTGAGGGGGATGGAGATAAGGCAGACAAAGCGTGTCCGTAAATACGTGCATTTGTTATGTATCTATATTATGTATTTATTCTGTCTACATATGTGTTCGTGTGCACATTTTGTAGGTTTCTGCGGGCCCAGTGTCGTGTGTATGTGTATTGTCCTTTTTAAAATGGGGGGAAATTGAGAATGATGTCCAGCAGGACGTGTACAAACATCATATCATGTCAGGTATTCCTTAAAAAGGGAAAATGCTCCCTAAAGAAGGAGTTCCTTCGCGACCTCCCTACCCTCCTCAACCCCGTATTTCCCCACCCACCCACCCCCCAATCCCGCGGAATCCCTCTTACATGCCACCTCTTCCCTGCCTCCCAAATCGTCATCCCGCGTCCCGAAGGCTCGCCCCAACAGCAACCTGCTCTTCATTTGCAGCGAGATCGTGTCGTACTGCGCATATCCCGGCAAGGATAAGGCGCGCATGGTGGCCAATGCCATCTTCAGGTATAGAGGCAATAAACTTTTCATAAAATATTGTAGTACAAGAAGATTATGGTTGCTGTACGGCTGTACGGGACCCTCTTAATTAGGCTCGCTCTTGCAAATGCCGGCGGGATGTCTCCAAACTGGGGGCTTTTGTCTATATCTGTATGTATGTCCGCGTGTGTCCATCCGCCGTCTGTCGGCAAGGGTTGGGAGTTCTGGTTCTGAGGTGTGTCTTATTTTGGCAATGTCGACCACCACTGCAGGATGGGGGCGACTGCGGTGCTCTTCAGCAATAAGCCCGGTGCGGGGCGCGCGGCCAAGTACCGACTGGAGCGCGCCACCCGGACACATGCGGGTGCTCGCGATCGGGCGTACAGGTTGGTTCGTCGTGTGTTGGTCGCGAAACTGCGCGAGAAATTGTTACCTGTCCAACTGTAAAAGAGTTTCGATTTGGTTTTCCATTTTATAACTGATAACCCAACGGACAACTATGAAACGCGAAATGCGAGCTTTAATTCGCTATAGCAATGGTATGGGGAAATCAATCAATTTGAATTTAAGTTTGAATTTTAGGCGCGAAAATTTGAATTTCTCGCTCGCACGGCGGTGGTCATATGCAGGTCCATGCACTGGGGCCCCGACGCCGAGGGCATCAACGGCATCTACCTGTCCAAAGACATCATCGGCGAGGCAGGGAAGGTACGTGTACGGCTTGTACAGCGCCACAAAATATGGCCGGCGCATGCTCACCCGTTTCTGCCATACCCTGCTAATCCACCTCGACGTTGCCCCGCTTCTCCCCCTCCCTATACCCCAATCCCCCCAGGTAATCGAAGATGTGCTCAAGGACATCACACCAAAGGTAACCGTACGACATGACGCAAAGCATAGCTCGTACATGCGATGCCCATTTTCGTACATGTATAATTCGTACACGCCGTTCCGCTAGGAGGCAAAACCGTTCATGTTTCCTACATACAAAACACACACATCCTTGTGGCCTCCACAGTGCTTGAGAGCCTCTGAACTACAAAACAGCTCTCAATTTGAAAGCTGTAACGCCCCGGGGGGGGGAAGTCCTCCAAACAACCAAGCAAAGCACCCCACAGGGCCCCGTGTCCCCGAACCCCCCACCCGCAAATCCCTGCCCCCCTCGCAGATCATGACTTGGGCCCAGTACGGCGAGGCTGCCGTACACATGGTCCGTTCACGACTGCTAGGTCAGCAGCTGCCGCCGTACCGTCCGGACTACACACGCTGTATCAACCACTTTCTGGTGCACGCGGGTGCGTGTACGGCAGGGTCGTACGGGGGGGTAACGTGTCAGGAAAACCCACCGATCTAAAACCCCCGACAGGGTTCCACGTGGGGTCCGCACAGGAGCCCTGCCTGGCCCAGGGATTAGGGGGGGAAGGGCGGGAAGGCGGACGTGGGATCTTCCTAACTTGAAAAGATCCGCGGACTGGGCGGTCCAGCCACCTAGGAACACGTCTATGCAAGACAAACATACATACAGACACGCACTCTGCCCTCCTCCTCCCTTCATCCGCCGGGAGTCCGGTTTCTACTTGCTTTATCCCCCCTCCCAAACCACGCCCCTTCCCCCCTTCCAAACACACACACACACACACACCTAAAACACGCGGTCCCCCCCTCCCCCCCGCACCCCCAGGTGGCTACGCGGTGATCAAAGGGCTCCAGGAGGGGCTCAACCTGCCGGCATCTTGCATGATCCCCTCCTTCGCGGCGCTCCGGGAGTAAGTAGTACGGGATTTGTACAAGCAATCCGTACGGGCGGCTATTGTAATGCGGCCTATTGTACGGCCCATATACATTAGCGCTATGTGTTGCACATAAATAGTTCCAGCCGCCGTGTGTGTGGGGTGTGTGTGTGTGTGTGTATGTGTGTGTGTGTGGGGTTGTGTGTGTATATGTGTGTGTAGCAACATTTTGAATCTTACCATGACGTACACTGTTCTCCATTCGATGCGCTATCCCTGCGAGCATTTACCTTTGCTTGCTCGTACATCCGTACATTTGTCGTACAGGTACGGGAACACCAGCTCTAGTACGACATGGTATGCACTCGGCTACACGGAGGCGTGCGAGGGCGTGAAGAAGGGCGAGGTGAGGAAGAGGAGTCGACGATGGTAGACCAGTGGCAGAGAGGGCCCGGGGGAGAATGATGAAGTGACGGGTGTGGCGTGTTGAAGGAGGGAGGGAGGAGGGCCGATCTGATGAACGCCCTCGTAGCAGTCAGTGGGTCGTAGGTCGTAGGTCGGAGCTATATACAAAACATGTTTTGAGTTATTCGAAACCTCCAGAGAGACTCTCTCTCTCTCGGTAATAAGATTTGTGGAAAGGAAGAATCCACCAGGAGGACCACCACCCGCGGTCGCCAAAACCCGCGCCTCCCCCCCCCCCCACACACACACACTCCAGGAAATTGCACCCTACCCAAACCCGCGCCTCCCCTCCAACCCACCTCATCTCACCTCCCCACCTCACCCCCCCGCAATTTTCCCCACATCTCCAAGTTCCCCTAACTGCTGCTTATGCTTGTGCTCCGCCTAAATTCCGAAAAATGACCCTGGAGAAAGAACCCTCCCAAAACCCTGAAACCAATTGAGCCGCTAAGACAGCCCTAAGCCTAGATTGGCCCCAATAACAACAACAACATTATGGTTGCAGCGCGTGCTCCAGCTCGGGGTGGGTGGCGGTATGAAGGGCGGATGCAACGTCTGGCTGGCTCTGCGGGACGTCGACGGGTCGAAGCACACAGCCTGGCAGCACCTGGAGGGCCGTCGTATCCAGGAGGCCGAGCTGCCACGAGGCATCGATAAGGACGTCGTGCGGTGAGTGTGAGATGTCGTACTGTGCCGTACTACATTGTCGTGATGCCGTACCATGTCGCGTACTGTGCGCTATCGAGCTATCGGAAACATTCGCCAGAAAGTTCAGGCGAGTGTGTGTTTCGTGCTGTAAGTCTTTTGTTGCCGCCTCGCCGAACCAACCCCTGACTTTCCCCCCCGGCCCCCGGCCCCCGCCCCCCCCCCACACACACACCAACAGGCACCCCCGGGCGGTGAAGCTGCTGGCTCGTGCCGGGCCCCCCTCTGCCGTACATGGTGACGTGTATGAGGATGGCTATGAGGTGGAAGGGGAACTGCTAATGGAGCACTGATGAGCAACCCCGTGAAGTTGGGGAGGGAGATTCGGAGGACGGAACTGAAATGTCAGTAATCCATTCCATATAGCAAAAGTACGGCAGTACGACATCAATATGGCAGTACGGCGATGCTGGCAACGGCAGTACGTCGCGTGGCCTTCCTGTGTTCCGTTTCAGTACGTTGCAGTACGCAGCTTCTGCCTGGCATGCCTGGCATGCCTGGCATGCCTGGCATGGTGTGCCAAAAAGTGTTCAAAGTTCCTTCAGGCAGTCGTGATAATGATGATGATGGTGGTGGTGGTGATGTGATGGTGATCGTGATGATGATGATGATGATGATGGTGATGGTGATGGTAGTGGTGATGGTGGTGGTGGTCGTGATACTTCTACCCCCCACTATTTTGGCGGTTATGTGGCGGACGCCGTGAAGTGGCGGTGTGTATGGGTGTGTGTATGTGTGAGATTTTGTTGTGAACGCACGCCAACGTGGTTTGGAATTTGGAATTGCTGCCTCCCGAGGTGGCCTCTGAGGGGGCCCCCGTACTGAGTGCGGCCCTGCAGCTGCCCCGCCGGTATCGGGGTGTTGGCTGTTATCCCCCCCCTCCCCCTACTACCCCCACCCCTACCCCTACCACCCCTACCCCTACTACCCCTACCCCTACCACCCCTACCCCTACTACCCCTACCCCTACCACCCCTACCCCTACCACGCCCTGCTATTACTGCAACTGCAGCTGTTTGACTAATGCGGAATGTGTGAACGGATCATGAAATGTGATGAACATCCCATTTATGTATCGCTCAGCGGTAGGCACCAGAGGAACCGCTATAGGTGTGATTGGGGCCCCGGGGGGGGAGCGGCCTGAAGAGAGCAGTAAGTGGAGTCAGTCAGTAAGTCAGTCGGTAAGTCAGTAAGTCAGTGTGACGGTTGTGTGGCACCCGCCTGATGCTGGGAGTGTGAGGGGCGGGAAGGATCGTTATTGTCGCTTTAAAGCCGTACATTCCATTCCGTTACATTTGATTTCACTATTCCCCCAAATGAGAACATTCTCAAGACGAAGTTTTTGAGGCGCACGTTTAGCCGAGGAGGAAGAAGACGACGAAGGAGAAGATGAAGATGATGATGAAGAATGAAAACAACAGTTCATACATATCGTAGTGTAGGTATTGTACGTTGTTCGCTGCTGGAATATACATTGCTGCTTTTACGCGTCTACTGTAAGTTCCGTTCCCCAACGCCATAAACGCCATCTCGCTGAGGGGCCGCCCCGGCGATATGCGTTGGGGGGTTGGGGAGATTTCATGCGCGGCCAGTGCACCTAGGCCAGTGCTCCTGAGGGGGAGCTGGCTCGTGTGGGGGGACGCTGGCTGTGGACGGTTCAATGTAATAATGGGAGAGCGTAATAACGGAAGTGCACATTCACCACAAATGCATCACCATTCTCAATTCAGACAGCCTCCGAATGGGTGTGTGTGTGCCTTTCTGCGTCCCTGCATCCCTCTGAATCGCCTTTTCTGAGGCGCCCTGTAGACCCCACCTCACCCCACCTCGTAAAAACCAGCACACCGAGTGGAAGTTGTCAATATAAATAAATCTGTGTTGTGCTCTCCCGCTGGCAGTCTCCAGGGGGTAACGGGAGAGTGTGATCCCTAGGCTGGGCGACCTGAGTCGCAGCAAGTGCTTTTCTTTTTTGTATGTGCTTGGGGTCGTGGTCTGTTTGGGTGGGGTTTAGACTATAGTTTTGGGCATGTGGCAGGGACAGGGATGCGGTCACGCGGCGCGCTACCAGTACCACTTTACCTACAGTCGCACGCACTAAGCATAGAAGTGAACGAAGTAAACTTTGCGCTGCTGCTGCTGCGCGCCGGAATCGCGCCAGATTCGTTTCTCCTGTCATTGAACCCATCCTATGTGCGGGACTGCGGTTAACGTATCTGTACAATGGTATCACAGGAAGCCCTGCACACTCGTGGGCCGTCTAGCTCTGTCTGCCTGACTCTGGCATCACAGGGCCCCAAGGCCTGGCATATTAAAGCCGTAGAAAGCGGTATCGAGCCATCGACTACGCATTTTTTTATTCAGCAACCAGTCCCTGGGTGGCTCCGGGCTAGTCCCGTACAGCTCGGGGCTCCTCAGCGGCTTGGCCTGACAATCACGAGCCCTCAGATTGTATGTTATAAGGCAATCATGAAGTCTGCCAGTACTCGGTGCCTCGGGCGGTTTGGGCTTATGTACTGCGTACGTGATTAGTCGGTTGCCGGAACTGTCTTGGAGGTGGGAAAAGATGGCCTTACGAGTTGTCTCAGGCCACGTTACTTACTGCTTACGAGCTGTCCCTACTAGCTCTGCTTACTCCAGTCCTCACAGTCCGAGAATGGAGCTTGCGTAAAGGCTGTTCCTTACTCATGATTTAGGGTAGGGCTTTGGCCCGCCTTTTTTAATAAATTCATGAAGCATAAATATTTGAAAGTAACCTTATGAGGAGCGTTGCCGCCTAACTTGAGGCTGGAAGAGTTGCCATGAGGCCTGACGACCAGTTCCATGACTACACTCTGGCCTCCAAGCTCGAAAGGTGAAATCAGTAACGAAGGAAAACCTCAATTCAAGAAAACTTTCGGTCGTGTTGTCTGTATTCTGGACCAAACCACCATTTCCGTTGCCCAGGTTTGCGGCTGCTGTCGAGCAAACCCTCGTATCATGGCAGCGTACAGGTGATACCAATTCAATGCAACATACATAGCTGTTGTCCTCAGTTAGGCATGCACAGCCGGTCGCAACGACATCCCATGTACCCATCCCTTACTTCAACCCCTTTCCCGTGCGCAAAATTTTTTTCAAGATTCATGTCCCCTTTATAAACAACAAAAAACAAAACAACATGTCCTGTGGAGCTTCCCGATAGGCCAAAGTACCGCCGTTCAGCTCCTCCTGACTTGGCCCGGCGTGCTTGACATCTCCCCTGGGCACAACCACCTGGATTTAGCGATCCCTAACCCCGCCTAGGATCTCCACCACCGTAACCACCACCGTTACCACCACCGTAACCACCACCGTAACCGCCAACACCCGCATCGCCGCCTCGCACTCATCCCCGAGTGAGGTGTGATGCGCCTCACTGTAAACCACTACCCCCCTTGCACGAACGCAGAACGCATAATGCGGCTTATATTTTTAAGGTGGTGGAATGTATCTGTGTACGACAGCAGGGGGCCCCCAGGAGAAAGATTCAAAACCCCGGGTTGTGTCGTACGCGTGTAGCTATGACGGTGGTGGTTGTGGTGGTGGTGCTGCTGCTGTTGCGACGCAACCCCGCCATGAACCGGTTATGGCGTGTTGTCTCTTGACCCCCAACTGAACCCCCAACTGAACCCCCAACTGAACCATCAACTGAACCATCAACTGAACCACCAACTGAACCACCAACTGAACCAACGACCCAGGCCTCGCGGAGATTATCCATCGCGGCTACCGAGCTCGCATCAAAGAGCAGCCCAGCCAAGTAAAGGTGGTGGCAAGTCTGCAACACAGGTAAATCTGTCTGTCCGTCCGTCTGTCCGTCCGCCTGTCTGTCTGTCTGATTGTCTGTGATTAGGCTTTGGGGAGGCTTTGGGGTGGGTGGGGGGAAAGAAATGAGAGGGAACAGTCCACAGGAGCGCGTGTTGGTTATTGCCGTACAGGTCTGCAGTACACGTAGTTTAGTCAAGTAACGGGTGCGCGGGTGGGGTCGAGGGGGTTGTGGGCCCCATACCGGCGCGTGCGGGTTTTGCATGCCAACGTGCCCAATGCGAGCTCAGTCTGAAAGTGTCATCGTTACCTCCTCCCCCGGTTGTTTTCCCAAGAGACACCTTAACGACATTCTGCTTGAATGTCGTACAGGCTCCCCTGGAGACGGGAGCCGTACATTCTGCAGCTCCATCTGCCCACGGCACTGGCCCTAGGTACGTGTGTATGTGTATGTGTGTGGGTATCTGTGTGCTTGTTTATGTTTTAGGGGCGGGGGGGAGGGGGGAAGGGGGGAGGGGGGGTGCGGACAGAAATGGGAAGAAAAGGGCCTAGTCGACCCCCTTCCCCCCCTCGAGGTTAACCTGGATAGTGGAGATACACACATACATACGTACGTACACGCGCGACCATTGCCCCCGGGAGATCCCGGGATCGATACCCGTTAGGGTCAAAAGTCCTTCCGATGGTGGAAGGCATTGCGCCCCTAGTTGATGGACGGTGGTGACCTGGGATAAAGTTAACCTGCGAGCCGACCCGGAATGGAGTTGGGCCGCTGTCGACCCGGCAGATTCCGTTGGATGCTGGTGGTGGGTGCGGAACCTGAGCGCGATCCACTGAGAAGTTGACTAGGGTGACTGGATGAGGGTGTCCCGAAATACCGGGGAAGGCAAGGTTTCGCAGGGTAGCTGCCACGGGCGAAGATACACCCCCCTGTTTCACACATCATACTTACACACTCTTACACACATGCACATACACATACGCACACGCACACGCGCACACACATACACACATACACGCGGTGTAGAAAAGGGGCTTTCCTTCCCTGCCTCTCACGTCTATCGCGGCCATCACCGTCGTCTTGCTCGGCGTCATTTCTTCCCAGGTCGCAACGGCGGCAACAGTGCGCCGTACAGCTCGTCCCATGTTGTACAACAATCTCAGGCAACGGCACGTGAGCAGCAGCAGCAGCTGTCAACGCCGAGGCGGCCGACGGCGGCGGAGGTGGCAGCCACCGCTGCAACCGCCGCGGCGGGCACCGCCGCCGGCGCCGTCGTATCCGCGCCAGCCGCCGCCGCCGCCGCTGCTGCTGCAGATGAAGGCTCCGGAGCCGTCGGCCGCCAAGCGCAGACTGAAAAAGGAGGAAGGCCAGCGGCGGCGGACGCCTCAGCGGCGGCGGCGGCGGCAGCGGCGGCCAGAGTCTCCGAAGGCGGCGGCGGCGGCGGACGCAGAGCTCCGGCGTTCAGCGACACACCACCGCCTGCGAGTCGTGCTTCCGGCAGCGGAACTGCCGTACATCCCGAAGCTGTACGACTGGAATCTAACTCACCTCTGGCGAGTGTTGGGGTTTCGGTATTTACGCCAGATGGCGACGGCGCGGTGGCCGACGGCGGCAGAGGTACGGCACGGGACGGCGGCGGCGCCGGTGGCGCCGCTGCTGCAGCTGCTGGAGGTGCTGACGGTGACGGAAGTAGCGGCAGCCGCGGCGGCGGTGAGGCGGATCCAGGTTGGGAGGTTGGCGTGGATCTGGATCTTACGGAGCTCCTGTCACGGATCGACACCATCGTAAACGACACGGAATTACCGGATCTGGATTTCGCAAACCTGGAGGATTCTAACGAATCCGGGCGGCGCAGCAGCGGCGGCGGCGACGGCGGCGTGGAGTCGGACCAGGGCGATGATGACGGCGGTGACGACGGCGGCGGTGCTGTGCCACCACGGTACGTAGGGCACAAGCACCAGTCACAGCCGAAACGTGAGCAGCAGCATGTGAAGCAGCAGATGCAAACGAAGCCGGAGGGGCCCGGTCTAGGGCAGCTGATGGAACCGAGCATGCAAACGCCAGGACGGAACCAGCTACAGCCGCCGCCGCCGCCACAGCAGCAGCAGCAGATCGCCGCGCCGTCGGGTTACATCGCTGGTGGCGGGGCCGGTGACGCCGCCGCTACCGCTGCCGCCGCCGCGTCGGCGCGTCTGGCTGCCGTTTGGCCCAGCGGCCGACCCACGGGTCTGCCGTGGTGGCTACCCACCTACCAGCACAGACTGCAGCGCTGGTTCGGGCTGGATGCCTTCCTGCTGCTGCACCCTGCCAGTTTCAGTCGCCGCATCCTGGTGGGTGGGTCCGTGTATGGGCGTATGTTTGTATGTATGTTGTTACAGGGTGGTATAGCTTCACCAGCGGCCCCCTTTCCCGAGGCAGTTCCCTGCTCTCCCCTGCGAGAGGGGCACCCTAATCCGTTCACCCCATCCGACTTCAGAATGTAACCGTTGGGTTCAGCAACTCACCACCAGCATCCAACCAAATCTAGCGGATCAACGGCGCCACAACTTAGTTCCTGGTCAGCTCGCATGTGTATGTATGCATGTATTTCGGGGGGACGATTTTGGGGGAAGGGTTTTGGGGTTTTAACTTCATGCGGGTTTAACCTGGGTTTGAGATATGGTGCGGCCTTTCGTTACCCCCTTCCCCCCTCCACCTCTAATTCCACCTTGAAAAAACCCTCCCCCCCTTTTAAAACGCTAAAACGCGAAAACCCTAAAACCCTAAAACCGTTCCTCAGGACGAGACTGAGGCTGGCTCCCTGCTGGGTGCCTCGTCTCAGGCCCTCTCCGCCGCGGGCCTCAGCTGCCCCCTGCTACTGCCCGTACATGACGGCTTGCGTGACGCGTACTGGGGCGCCGCTGTGCTGGGGGGGGTGGGGTGCCTCCACTTGCGGACCGACAGCGTCCACATCAGCAGCCCGCCGCAGGTGACTTTAATCAGTCTGTCCTGCTTTTGGAGGTTTTTACAATATGGTCATGTTTTGGGGTTTCCGCTAATTTTCGCAATGTCTCTTGAGTTCTGCTTTCACATGTTATTTTTTTTTATTTTTTCCCTCATTTTTCCTGGATTCGTTTAGATTTTTTTCGTTGTATGTTGTTTTTTCATATTTTCGGTTTGCGGAAGGAATCGAAACGAAAATAATCAAACCCGAGACACGCACACACACATACATACATACACACACACGCAAACACACACACGGTTTTTTCTTTTTCCTTTTCCACCGTTCTCCATTTCCCCCTTTCTCTACTTGTCCATTCCTTTCCTTTGAGATCCTTGCAGCAGAATATAATTCCCGGCCCTCCCCGCCGCTGTTGCCTGATCAGGCTCTAACCCAGCTGCCCGCTCAGCTCCGGGCCCTGGCCGAGCAGCTGATGCCCTTCAGCCCCCTCGCAGCAGCGGCGTGTGTACGGGCATTGCAGGTGAATGGAGGGGGGGTGGGAGATCGTGTGTGTGTGTGGGGGGGGGAGAGGTGCGTTTGAGCACGTGGACGGGAACTGAATAAGCTAAAAATGTAAGTAAAAAGTTAGCTGGTGGTTGGAGGTGGTTGGAGGGATGGTACGGGGGGGGAGGGTAGGGTAACGGTGGGTGGAGTAGGTGATGAACTGTATATTAAATAATCTAATATCCTGCTCAAATGCGATGGGGGGGAATGGGATGGCGGCCCGTAAAGCCTGGGGAGGGAGGGGCCCGGAGGGGAATGTTAGGGGGTTGGGGAGATCACCCCATGAAACACACACAGAGCGAATGAGAGAACACGTCCTCACACGCTTTTGGCACCTTTCCCTTTCCGTGTTGAGGAACCAAACTTTGCATTTTTTTAAATAACCTTCGGCCCAATTTACATATAAGCACGTGTGTGCTTCCTAATTCGTGTTTTTCCCTTCCTCCAAAACGCCACCATTGCCAACCGCCATCAACTACCGACAACCACCGACAACCACCTGGCGCGAGCAGATGGGAGAGCAGCAGGAAGGGGTCATGGAGGCGTCACGCGCCATGCCTGCCGGGGAAGGTGACGCCGCAGCAGCTGGCGGCGGCGGTGGCGTGTACGACGGCGTGTACGACGGGATTCATGTGACGTGGTCCGCCTGTTTCACGTTTCGGGTGATGCCGCCAAGTTCCCGTTTGAGAGCGCAAGTGGAGAAGTGGGGGGCGACGGCAGCTGCAGCGGCAGCAGCGCGCCGTACCGTGACGGCGTCGGCGGCAGTATCCGCTGGTGGCGCCGCTGCCACCGCGGCGGAACAAAAGCAGCAAGCCGTACAGCCCTTTGCCTCCGTCCGTTGGATCCGCTCGCATCCGTTGGATGCTTGGCATCATGCATCGTCGCCGTCGCCGTCGGCGGCATCGGCGGCGGCGGCGGCATCACTGGGGGGTGACGACAGCGGCGGCGCCTCGCCGCCGCCGACCTCACCCCCGACGACGCACATACGTGACGTTGGTGAGGGCGTCGGGGAGTATGATGGCGGTGGCGGCCGCCAGTACGGCGCCCACGGCATCGGCGATGACGGCTTTAGCATGTTCCCTGACGCCGACCCATGGGACGCTCATGCTCCCTGGCAACCCTGGGCCGTACAATCGGATCCAGTGGGGGTTCTGGAGCTGGATGTAGCTTGGGACGATTTGGAGGTGCCGCTACAGCCGCCAGTGCCGCCACCGACGTCATTGCCGCCGCCGCCGCCGCCGCCGCTGCAATCCCCTCCGGAGCTTCAGGCAAGTACGATATAAAACACGCCAAGACCTGTTCCCCTAACCTCCCCAGCCTTACACCTCCGGTGATCCAACCCGTTGTACGGGGCCGTGTGTGTATTTCCACGTCTACTCATGTGTTTTTTCTCTCCCCCCCCCCCCCTTTCCCCCGTCATTACACCCCATGCGGATCTGTTGTCTTACCTCAACTTTTGCCAAGATATGCATGCGTATACTCTTACAGCCGTAGATTGGATTGTACGACTAAATGGCCGTACGGTTGTACGGTTGAAAACCTGTACTGCAGGTGGGCGCTGCCCAGCGCTGGTTGCTTCACGCGCTTCAGGTCGGCACTGGCGGTGTTGGCGGTGGTGCGGGGGGCGGAGGCATGTGGGGGCGCGTGGGGCTGAGGCCGCGGGAGGCGCAGAGGCGGCATGTAGAGCTGCAAAGAGCGGGTGAGCTTGGGGTGTGTGCCTGTATGTATGTATGTAGGTAGGTAGGTAGGTAGGTAGGTAGGTAGGTAGGTGCTTGTGCTTGTGCTTGTGTGGGTAAGTGGGTTGGGATGTGCATGTGGGGGCGCGTGTAGTAGGTGGGTAGGTGTGTTGGGTTGTGAGGGGGGTGTGGGGCTGGGGTTTGGAAGAACCCTCGCAATGACATTATAACAATCCTACTTTAAAGTATGAAAAACAATATATAACATTTTTAATAATTATATTGTAAAAAATCAAATAATTGATGGGGGATTTTACCAAATTGGATGATTTTACCAAATTGGATGGGGGGTTTCCTCCCCCTCCCCCTCCCCTTCCCCTTCCCCTCCCCCTCCCCCTCCCCCTCCCCTTCCGGCGCATCAGACTTTCCTCGGCAGCAGCTTCAGTCGTTCGATTTTCGTCTTACCCCCCCTTTCCGGCAACCCCCTATTTTCTGTCGTACCGTCGCCGCCACCCAGGTGCTGACTGGCTGTGGAGCGCTCTGGCGGCGGAGTCCTGGCGGCGTCCCGGGGGTCAGCCACCCCCCACTGTGACGCCCGTGTCGTCAGCTAGCCAGGTGTGCGTGTGTATGTGTATGTGTATGATGTGTGAAACAGGGGGGTGTATCTTCGCCCGTGGCAGCTACCCTGCGAAACCCTGCCTTCCCCGGTATTTCGGGGCACCCTCATCCAGTCACCCTAGTCAACTTCTCAGTGGATCGCTCAGGTTCCGCACCCACCACCAGCATCCAACGGAATCTGCCGGATCGACAGCGGCTCAACTCCATTCCTAGGTCACCACCGTCCCTCAACTAGGGGCACTTTACCTTCCACCATCGGAAAGATGTTCGATGCTGACAGGTCTCGATCCCGGGATCTCCCGAGGGCAATGGTCCGTGCTCTACCAGTAGTGCCTGGTGTATGTGTGCGGGTCGGAAGAAGAAGGTTAGTTAACGTCGTACACCTACACCCCAGATTCCTACCCACCAGTTTCCCCCTCCTCCCCCCCCCCCAACCCCCCCTTTTGTTCGCTTCACTCGTTCGTGGTTCGTCTTTCCCCCCTTTTGTCGTACCAGGTTGGTCCTGGGAGTTTCACCGTTATGTTGTCCAGTATGCTGACTGGTCGTACACTGGCCGCGGAGGCAGAGGGAGAGGTGGGGCGGCTGCTGGAGCCCGAAT